GAAAGTTTTTAAAGACACTATCACACACTTAAAATCAATAACAAGTACCTCTACCCATAAGATGGTTATAACTCAAGCATTAGAAATATTAAGTTTTCTTTTTCTTTCTCCTAACATATCAAGGTTTCTTTTAGCAGACATAATAAAGTTTACATGAAAAGACACACGCATCGCACAAACCAGCTTATACAAATATAATAATCTCAACTCTAAGCAATACAGACTATAACAATTGTAATTGTACATGCAAAGAAACTCAAGTACCATATTTACATTTGGAACAAATGATTTAATTTTGTGGAATTCATTTGGAAATATACATTTAGTTTAAACTTTAAACATGAGAAGATGAAAATTTATCTCCAAATGAATATCAAGAATAATTTAAAATTTTTATCAATATTGGAGTTGAATTTTCTCACTATTATTTAACTATATATTTTTAAATGAATTCCACAAAATAGTTTTTTTTTTTTTTTTTTTTTCACATAAAACCTATATCTTATCATCAAGTGTTACCTACTTAGCTAATAAATCATAAAATAAATAAATAATGTAAATCATATATGTAGGAATTCCGACAAACATTGAGTATTATAAAGCATATCATAACAGACTACAGAATTTAGAAACACATTCTTAATGATATAAATCATATCATTATGACCTATCTTGAATGTTTAAGAGGGCTCATCAAAGAAAACTCTTTTATCCCTAGAGTTCTAACGAATTCAAAGATTTGAAAGAAAATACTGCTTAGTTAGTACCTAAAAATAATCATCTGATTCAAAGGGATAATATGCTTTGGATGAGAATGCAAACAAAAAACTTTTTAGTTGAGACGCAAAAGAAGGATAACACAATGGTACGGAGCTGAGCCATTCTACAAGATGCAAAACATATCATCCTCGAAAAAGCATCCCTTAGCTTTCCCAAGCAGTATTGGCATCATAAAATGAATGCACCCATAGTGAAAACACACAGTCACACTTGCTTGACCAAAACCTTGAATCCCAACTGTTTCAAGAGCAAGAAATTTAACACATTAACATTAGTCAATGATACTTCTTATCCAGTTATCCATAATTTTACACATAAAAATATAAACAAAAGGCCTACAGTAAATCGAGTTTAAACATTAACATAACATTGGAGTATAAGTATGCTATATGTGCTAGCGTTATTAAAAGGAATCCGAAAACAATCTGGTATATGCATAAACTCATACCTTTTCCAATTCTTTGACTCCTTCAGGATACTGATGTTTCTGTAGTAATGCAAGTCCCAACATATAATGAGCCTGTCATGAAGCAAAATTACTTAAGACTAGTAAGACAGTAATGGCCCAAACATAAAGGACAATAAAGGTTCATAGCATCACAGGTAACTAGAAGTAAAAACAAATTCATCATCTCTACTAATAATACAATAAACAAACATGTAAAAAATCTCCAATACACACATACATAAGTTCTAAACCTTCCTGGGCAAGGTACACACAAAAAGTTCAACAAAACAATCTTAACAGAACCAGCAAATAGGATTTGTAAAATGGCCAGATGTTTCTGCTGCTAGTAACAAGTATCCTCTATAGACTAACAGATTTCATGATGGCAAACAGAAAGAAACTACTCACAAGAGAAAATATGGATACTAATTGTTCAACACCTCAGACTAGTTTAGAACACATCAGCTGTGAACATTTTTGTAAGATTTTTTTTTTCTTTTTCATATTTCACTAGCAAAATTTTTTATGAGATTCTGAAAGGAAGAAACACGAATTAACTGCCAAACTGCAAGATTTTTATTGGAAGATTGCCAACACTTTCATCTTCTACACAAATTTATTCTAACAGGTCATGGAGTTTACAAGGAAGCAATTCTGGTATTTTCTTTTTCCTTCTCTTTCAAAATGAGTAATGCACAAAGAACTTGACAGAAACATTTACAGTAATATACACATTGTCATACATCACAGGCTCTAATCAATTAAATTGACTACAGTAATGAGTGGCTATATAATATAAATATGGAAGTTCTACCCCCTAGTTCGTGTTGACTTTAAGTGATTATAGGCTCATAGGAATATCATCTTGGACTCAACAAAGCTGCTAAACTAAGCACCAGCTTGGGGCGCTTGGTATGTTGGTACATTCATGCTCACTGATTAATAAAGAGTCATGAGTGTCTCAAAGAGATTAATAATAGAGATTAGCTTTTTCCTGGACTTGTGATCTCAATGCCATCCCAAGCCCATAATTCATCTGCAATCGAGCAGCAGCTGCGCAGGACAAGTTTTGGAAATATTTCCCACAACTTTCTAGCCTTTTGCACGAAAAAGGAGATGGTTCTAGCATTCATTCTCTTGCATGCACATCAAGCACCTATTAACAATTCTACAAAACTTCCTCAAATTATCCATCATGAGGATCTTGCGCCAAGCAGTTTCCCGTGTAAAGAAAGCAACATGAGGGGAACCTGATAGATAGTTGTTTTCTTTTAGCAATTTTGTAAAGCTTCTTTTGTATTTTGGTTGGCACCTCCTCACCGCCTTCTTAATGTGATTACTTCTTTTTCCTCTAAAAAAGGTCCCAAAGAGAGTCATGCAACTTATGTCGTTCCCTCTGCTACCAGAAGTATCCATTGCTGCAGTTCACTAATTTTAAAACAGTTTACTGGATACTTAATATTAATAAAAATCATAACCACCTTCTGCACAACATTGATATATACAAACAGCAGAGCCCATGAATTTTTCTTTAGGAACTTCAGTCTTCAACTGTGTTTACAACAGGAAGTCTCAGTGTTTGCTCCTCCTGATACATTTCTTGCTGTGCTAACACTTTTTACTCAAGCTATAACAAGAAAGATACAAGGAATTCCAAATCCTATAGTTTCAGCAATATGGCTGATAAATCTTGGTGAAGCCTAGGAGGCAGTTGGATAAATATTTTACTTCAGGGACAAGTTTATTTTCAAGAAGTTTCTAAAGACCAACATAAATCTTTTCAAAGATCATATATTTGTACAGCTAAAACAAAAACCGTGAAAGAGCAGAATGCCCCTTTTATTTTCTATAAGTTATACTAGTACTTTTATATATATTACAGTATCCATGTACATCTCACATTTTCTTTCTATCTACTGGGAATAGAATATTTAGCTTATTAAAAGATTATGTACTCGTTTAGGTAAAATTTTATATTTGATCTATAGTTTTGTTGGGTGGATCTGTCCCCGCTACGTATGATGCAGCTCCATCCACCAAAGCAACCAATCGCACATCACTCATCAAAATACCTATCCCATAATTTAAGAGGAAAAACGATTTCCACACAAGTTATTTTCTATCCATTTAAAAGAAAATCCTTTCCTGCTTGGTAAATGAATGATGGAGATTGACCCCATTACCCAGCTTCAGCTACTACTAGATTTTTAGGAAGAGAGAGTATCATTAGACCGAAAGGAATATGACCATTTCAACATAAATGAATAGCAAATCCTAAGCTAACAAACCAAAAAAAAAGGGAAATTTATTTGTAAACTTACGTTTAATTTAACCATGAGAAAATATAGATTGTTTTAGGATGACCAAAAGTTTGAAAAACCTATGAAATTATATGTATAATTAGAATAATTGTAAATTATATCCTTGATAAAATTTAGAATATATTATTTCAATTCTATGTGGAAGTCCATATGAATTCAGTTTTTATTGTTTAAGAGAGTGCTCTGGTCACCTTCTACTAAAAAGTAAATGTGTATTGAAAAATGAAAAAGTTTCGATTTTTTCCAAAGGCAATATAAAAAGTTATTCGTTTTGGTATATCCACAATCAGCGTTTCAAGTTTCAGTACACCACAGGAAGATAATGAGATTTAGAAACAACGATTACCTCAATATGAAAAGAGAAATCATATTGGGAAAAAAACATTTTTATAGGAACAAAACAAAGTTTTTTACAAGAAACTAAAAAGATAATAAGGAAGCAAAATGCAATACCTTGACGGAATGGTGATCAAGCTGCAGCGCTTTGCGGCAATCCTCTTCAACTTTAGTCCAATCACTACATTGAAACCACTACCTCGTAAGCTAAATACAAGCGGTAGAAGGAAAAAGATTATAAAGATAGAACTGCCTGCACATACTTCCGCCTTCGATGACAAAGAGCGCGATTCGTCCAATAAACCGGAACATTAGGGCATAACGTTATAGCCTTCAAATCCAACAGAAGAAATAAGATACTACTCGTAAACAAAAAGGTTTCTTCATATTCCAGCCAAATACATAAAGAAGGGACATATTTACATAAACATAGATAAGAAAAAACAAGAATTGAATATTGCAATCCAAGTAACCAAAAATCAAATAGAGCAGAAGTTAAACAAGAACAAAAAGAACAAATTAAATTCATACAGATAGATACATATAAAGGCGATGAGAGATGTACCTCGGTATAAGCATCAATGGCGGCCCCAAAACGATCTTTCTTGAAATACAGATTACCGTATTTCCTCAGCTGCTCGGCTTGCTTCGCGGCAGCAGTCAATGCCACTTCCGGCCCCATTTACCTCGCTCTTTTTCTCTCTTTATTCTTCCGAGACACCAGCAATCCTCCAATTTCCCTCCGATAATCGGCTTCCTATCTCGGAAAATCAACTTCCTCGCTGACGCTTTTCAGAAAATTGTAGATATCTGTAATTTTTCTGTAAAGGAATAAAAAGTTTTGGATAGACACGGAAGAGTGATTCCGTCCGATGGCTAGTGGGTTGTGGCGAGGTTTCAGAATCTCACTGATTACTACACTGAAAGAGGGATGAAGCAAACCCGTCGTTTGGTTTAAAAGAAATTCAGGGGGACTAAATTGCGGTTTTGATCATGTCACCCGGAGGGGATTTTGTATCCATCACGGCCCAATTTGAATGGAGGAATTTCGGGTTGACCCGGTTAAGCCTTGTGAAGTATTGGATGGGCCACGTGGGGATTTGGAATTGTGAGACTCGATGTAAGGGCAGGTCAGGTGTCGTTGACTCGTTGTGGGTGGAAGTATTTAGAGAGTTTGTTTACAACTTGTAAGTTTATTTATCCGTTTGGAATGATAAATAAAGTTTGTTTAACTGAATTGACATTTAAGATAATAAAATTTTATTTATTTAGCTTATAAAGATTTACTTGGTTTTATTAACGGAAGTAAAACTTATAAATTTTCAAATTACAAAATTCAAGTTTTTTAATATTTCAATTTTAATTTTAAATAATGTGCGCAATGAGATATTAAGTTATTTATTATATATTTATATTTTATTATTTTTATATTTCTAAAGAACTGTATACTATTAAACTTATAAAAAATATAATAAATAATTTGTAAGTAGAAGAGACTTTAAAAAATTTTTCGATCCATCTCGTTTTAAATAATTTAAAAACTCGTTATAAAAATAAGTGTATAAAGTTCTTTGTGCAAGTAACCAAAAATTAAAGAAAATAGAAGTGAAACAAGAATAAAAAGAACAAATTAAATTCATACAGATAGATACATATAAAGACGATGAGAGATATAGCTCGGTATAAGCATCAATGGCGGCCCCAAAACAATCTTTCTTGAAATACAGGATTACCTTCTTTCCTCAACTGCTCGGCTTGCTTTGACGATAGAAAGATTGAAGTAAAGAAAGATATTGAAGCTAAAGGTAGAGTTAGTGGCAATTGAAAGTTGTTTGCGGCATTTTATGATTCGTATGATTTACTAAACCCATCAAATCTCTCATTGTTTCCTGCAAATAATACTTAAAAGAGTATGAAAATTCTATCAAGAAGAAGTCACCATCTTTAAAAAAGGGGTGTGGAGAGAAAAGTTGGCCACAAGCATTTTGAATCAATGCAGATTATTGGTAAAAAGAAAGAGGAGCATGTGTTAATCAAAGGAGTTAGGTAAGGAGTTTGTCATTTCCTTTGATAATTAACTCGATATGTACCATGTTTTGTTTTGATTTATTTTCAAAAACTAGATATGATTAAGAGAAAAAATAGTGTTGAGATGAGAAATTTCGCAAGGTAATGAATACTACTTTTGGTTATTTCATTAACAATTAGATAACTCGTTAATGAAATCATAAAATAAGAAAATTTTCATAAATAACTTGTTATTCTATTAGCCTTTTCTGATTCCTTCACCAACTTCTTTGATTAACATATGCGACTCTTTCTTTTTAACAATGATCTGCATTGATTCGAAATTCTTGTGGTCAACTTTTTTCTTTACACTCTTTTTCTGAAGATGGCGACTTTCTTTTAATAGAATCTTCATACTCTTTTAAGTGTCATTTGCTACAAACAATGAGATATATGATGGTTTTAGAAGATCATATGAATCGTAAATGCTGCAAACAGCTTTAAATTGCCGCTAACTCTGCCTTAGCCTCAGTCTCTTGCTTTACTTCAGGCTTCTTGCTGAGGCTTTTTGGCTCAGATTTGGTCTTTTTCTTGTATATAACAGAGATGGGTTACCTTCATCCCTCTATAAAAAAAAAAATATATATGAAATAAACAAAGCAATAACCGCACATAATTATCAGCTGATGCTCTCTTTTCGCAGCAGTGATCATATAAAAGATGACTGATTTGGCAACCGGACCCGCAAAGAGAGGTAAATTATCACAAGTGAGATGAGAGAAGACAAAGTAGCTTGTTGCACAAGATAATGAAATGGGGAAGTAGCAAACCCGTCGTTTGATTCAAAGGAAATTCAGGGAACTAAACTGCGGTTTTGATCATGTCACCTGCAGGGCATTTAGGTTTCCATCACGACCCAATTTGCTTGGAGGAATTTCGGGTTGACCCAGTTAATCATTATGCTGTATTGGCTGAACCTGGGGGGGTAGGGGGTCTAATTGGAGATTTTGACGCAGGCCGAAACCATTCATGACCGTAGGGGAATGATAAATAAAGTTTGTTTAACTTGAATTTATGTGCTGCTTATTATTTTGTAACTGAAATTAACATTTAAGATTATAAAGTTTTATTCGATAATTAAAAGAAAATTTAGTTTTTGGCTTATTAAGATTTAGTGGAGATACTGGGGTAAACATTGAGTCAAGTAAAAGTTATAGATTACCAAATTACAAAAAGATTAAATAAAAAACAATGCAAGTTTTTTAATATTTCAATTTTATTTTTAAATCGGAAATAGAAAAAATGACTGCAAACACCGGAAAAAAAAAAAAAAAAAAAAAAAAAAAAAAGAGAACAAGCAATGATCAATTGTTTATATTAATCTAATAGTTATTTATTATATATGTCCGTTTCATTGTCTTTGACCTTCAAAAAAGTCATGGCCACGGCAACCTCACCCAAGATATTCCAAGTGAAAAAAGAATTACAGCTAGAGGGCAAGAATGGTGGATTAATCCACATATAAGGTCAACAACGTCAAGCACGAAACAGGGAGAGAATGCCAAGAAGAAACACTGGATAGAGATGGGTTGCCTTCATCCCTAAAAATAAATACGACATAAACAAAGCAACAACTGCACATAATTATCAACCAATCCTCTCTTTCAGCTGCACTGATCATAATAAAGATGACTGATTATGGCAGCCGAACTCCACAAGACAGGTAAATTATTACAAAGAAGATGAGAGAAGACAAAAGTAATTTGTTGCACAAGATAATGAAATTTGAGAATGCTTTCTTGCCTTCTATCCCTCTCAGTTTTCTGTGCTTTCTGATGTACATATGAAGTCAAAATTATCAGAGTACCTAACACAAAAAATGTTAAAAGGAAAAAATAAAACTAAAACCAACAATGGACTATACACTCATATTCTATCAGACCATAGGATATAAATAAATTACAACAGGCGATTACCAATACCCTAAATTTCATGGATGACTAGAATCTTGGCTCTTACTGTATTCCAGCCTGCTCGATAACCATTCCCTCACATGGTTTGCAAGTTGGGAAGCTTCTTTGTCCAACTTTAGGGGACGCCTGTGCAAACTCTGCAAAATAACTTTCATCTCAGAAGATTGTTTTATATTGGAGATATTGAACACAAATCATTCCTACCTCAGAAGCCCATAAGCAATCACGCTCCTTCCGAGGTATTATATGAATGTGAGTCTGGAATTTCATATTATAAACAAAACTAGTCAAGTAAATACTAACTCCATCACTGCAACAATAACAAAACCATTTTGCTTCTAAGCAAAAGAACATTTGGGATTTGTTGAAATAGTTGACAGACTAGGGTAACTTACATGAAATATAACTTGACCAGCTGCTGCACCATTGTTAACCAACAAGTTGAAAGAATCTGTATGACTCAACAATCAGAATTGTTTGTATAAGCAAAATCTAAACAATAACTGCAACCAAAATAAAACTGAGACCCAAATTTCTCCTGGGAGAAATAATATTATTTGGCTCAACATGGTTAGGATATTGATGAGCTTTTCAATGACAGAAACCAGTCTGTAAGAGGGGAAAAAGAGAAAGAAAAGAGGTTTTCAACTACAGACGAGAAGAGCCAATTTTCAATTATGGTATAGGAACAGATTCTGGACCAATTTCTGAAACAACATAGGGCCCATGGAATCCTTTTCTTCAATTAAAAAATTATTTGGGATGTTAGATTATGATTAGTTACAGAATATGGCGATATGTCAATCAAGTTAAACTATACGATGAATATAACCCATAAAATAATTTTTTTTAATCATAAAAAAAGATTTAGTTATCCCTCAAAACAAATATTATCTATGTGCTAAGTGATAAAGATGGCTACATAGTAGGTCTATTTAAGTGATATACCATCAGTCATTATAACTTGATTACAATTCTGGCTCTGTTAAGGGCATTTGATCAAATTGGTCAACAATTTTCCTTCCTACATATGGTTTTTTGCTTTGAGAAACTTCTTGAGAGAAAATACTGTTAACAATCACTACTCACCCAAAATTTTCAAGCTAAAGTGAATTCTATAAAATAAGCAATTTGTGATTTATAATCTAGCCATAGCAGCCTATTTTGCTATTTTATGCCTTAATACCAAATTCACGATGACAGAGATTAGTAGATTTTGACACAGGCTATTTCATGCCTTAATACCAAATATACTTAATGAGGTGAAGTCTTCAACTAAGGCTTCTCGTCAATTGGAAGAGTTAAACCTTGAAGTTTTTCTTGAACCACCTCCACTGACAACAGTTTAAATGCCAACAGTTAGTAAAGTTGTTCCTGCTGACCATGTTAAGCAACTTTCTTCTCAATGTGACGATTCCACCTCATGTTCCTCAAGAATCTACAATTCTGATGACCAAGTTCTTATTTTCTCATGGAGATTACATGAAGTTACATATGTTCCTGCCTTGCCATCTTGACACTTCATGCTTCAAAACTCGAGATCAAGTTTTTATCAAGTGAATTAGGTGATGCAGAATAGAATACATTAATTTCGAATAGATTTTCCATTACAGAAATTTTTTTCTAACTATTATCATTACTCAGTATCTTTGATTTCTTTGGCTCATTTAGATAGTTTCTAGCTATTAAAAATTTAGGCTATTTAAGTCTATCTAAAGATACAGAAGCTCTAAATTTTCTCATTTGTTACTTCAATATTTTCCTTATTAGTTGTAGCTAACGCCTACACAAAGTCCATCAACAAAGAAGAGTAAATAATGAATTAAGAATTTCTTTACTAGTGTTTTGTTCCCTATTATCTCGGCTGTTTCTTTTTCTAGTTTCTGTTCTGTCTAATCTATCTCACTTAATCAATTTCTCCATATATTTCTTCACCTTGACCTACAATTTCCTTTGCTATATCTACTTCTTTGTTTCTACTAGATTTCTCTATTTCTCAAGTATCCCCAGGAAAGTTGCATCAATTTCATTCAGGTAACACATGAAATCTCCAAGTAATCACTGATAAAACATTGGAAATTGTGAAAAAAAATATAGCAAGGCAGATGGCATGTAAAGGAAGAATATAACTGTGAGATTATTGCAGTGAAGAACTTTTAACACATACCACTACCAGTAGCTTTCATGATGGCGTTGCTAATAAAAGGAACTTTTGAACACATTGCAGCTACCACCTGCATACTCCTCATAAACCATAATAAAGAATGGTTAAATTCATTTGGGAGGGGGAAATAGTTTGCAGAACAGAATGAACCTTTGCCAAAATTTACCATGGAAAATCTCCAATAACATTAACCATAACTGCAGCCGAAACTTTTGATAACAGACTAGAATAATCTGTTTCTAAATGCCCCTTTGATGCGTTTCCCACATTCCTTCCATATTTTCATGTTTAAAACTATTCTAGATTATGGAATTCATTCTCAAACGAATCATATCAAATTGACCAAATGCATCCCAATTTCCGTTAAATTTGATAAATCTAGAAATTAACGTGAACTTTTTGGAGAATAAGTGTTTGAAGTACTTTCTGCACTACTATATCTGTGTTGCCAACATAGTGATCTAACTGAACTTTACAAAATATTTTAAATTTCCATTATTTATTCCACATCAAATTTTATTTCAAAATAATTGATTGTTCGAAATTTTTAAAATTAACAAAATTTTGTTATTCGTTTCTCCTAAATGAAGCTTTGGAATTTTATCAATGGAGTTCAAAAGTTAAGTCAATATAGTTTCAGGAGGTTTTAAAGAAAAGTTGAATATCTAGCAAAGCCGAGGGGAAGACTGCACATGAACAAAATAGAGAGACAAAAAGTGCAGCCCTTATATGTATTTTTTGGAAACTGGTCTGAAAATAAACGCAGATTAAAGTGTCAAGGCAGCAATGAGATGATCTCCATATCTTAAGAAGCTCTTGGGGTGATAATGCTTCCTTAATTACCGCAAATAATAAACAGTGAAAAAAATATCACCAGATTTCAAGGCAAGCATTATATGAAGAAGCAAGAATCAAAGAGTATTTTGATTCACTTCATTTATTTAACACAATTCCAAAATCTATACTAGAACAACAGATCTGCAGCATTCTTATCATAAAACTAATAGAGCATTAAAAACCAAAGTTTCTTATTCTAATAATTTTCCCTATCTTTTCTACCTCACAGTGATTTGTACCAAAAGTTGGATAATGTAGACAAGCAAAATTAAACCTTCAATATCCACATTGCAGAATGCAGAGCAGCAACTAATAATGGAATAAGCAAGTGCTTCAAATGTATACTAGCATTTGAGCAAGACAGTTCATAATGTATTAATATGATTTTATCTAGTCAATTTACTTACAGATGGAGGAGTTGCTTCCAAGGAGGAAAAAGTGGGATTTTGGGATGATAAGAGAGTGCCTGGGAACAAAAGGTGAAATTCAATTATTAGAAGTTTAACAAATTCAAATTAAAAATCTAAAGTGCTAACATTCACCTATCAGATTTCTTTCAAAAAAGTAATCACCTATTAGATTAGTCAATCCTCTTGCCTTTAACACAATCAATTCATTTT